AATCAATATTATTAATAGAATTACATATTGTGTGTGCAAATTATACTTTTTTCACTTGTGTACAACTGTCATTTTCTGCCAAAATTTATATTTAAATGAGTGATTTAAACATCAGTTGAATTTCTCGAATGTATAATTACAAATTTGCATAAATTTACATAATATTGTATTATTTTCTTGATTTTATATGTTAATAAATTTTTGAATATATACAAGACGAAATTGAAAATTTCTACTATGTTTCGAATATCATTTCAGATTGTACGCATAAAATATTAAGACTACCGCACACGAATATTTTATGCGAGAATATAATGTGAAATCATTTTATTATCAATTTTATAAAAACTTTTTGTATTGAATCCGAATTTCATAACACACTTACGTATTATAATTATAAAACTGTCGATAATAATCTTTGATAGCCAAATAGAAAATCTTTCTCTGTTTCACGGAAAGATAAAGTGCACGAGAAAAAGACAGGGACGTATTTTGTTTAATGTGCTACTTTAGCAAACTCCACACCTTGAACATCTTACAATTTTGAGCGAAGTAGCTCGATCTTTTTGGCAGCGCGTTTCTGCAAATCGGGCAATTTCATGGCAAGCCCCATGTTGCCTTGAATTTTAACCTTCCCTTGGAAGAAAGCCTTTTGCGGATTTAATTTTCCAGAAATAAAATCCAATATATCGGTGTCATTAATCGTGAATGTTACATCAGGTTTAGTTTTGCCATTGTACTCGACTTTGCCTTTGCCCGTTTTTGCGTCTATAATCCAGTATCCTTCGGCGCCACCGGGACCATTTATAACTTTAAATCCGTAAATTCCACGCATTCTCTCAATCAGATTCTCATCATCTTCCTCCATCGCGATCGCCAATGTCTTGAAGAGCACATCCGCTTGGAAGATACTCGAATCGGCGGCAACATTCACGTTTTTTCTAATTATCGCCTGTTTCGGGAAGCCTAAGCGGTAGAGAGCTACGACGACTGCACCACCTAGACCTATGTTGTGCTGAAGTGCCAATTTTGCGTCCCGCACTTGTCTCTTGCCAGCTTCACCGCGAAGTTGCCAGGTAAGTTCAGCACACTGTGCTAATCCTGTGGCGCCCAGAGGATGTCCTTTCGAGATTAGACCGCCGCTCGGGTTCACAACATACTTGCCACCGTAGGTGTTATTTCCAGCATCTATCATTTTACCGGCATGACCAGAAGCGCACAATCCTAAGGCTTCATAAGTTATTAACTCGTTTGTAGAGAAACAGTCATGCAGCTCTATCACATCTACATCGGTCGGCTTGTAGCGGGTCGATGTGAAAACTTTCTCAGCTGCGTTTCTTGTCATGTCATATCTGCAAAATATCACAATAGAATTAGTAAACTAGCAATTAATTCTATTGGGAAACATGAATACATAATAACTTATTTATTTCTCGTACCCAACAATATTCATACACGATTGAGTGTTAAATGTCGAGGACAAGTCAGTGGACATTTCCATAGCGAGGATTTCGACAGCCTGTGATTCCAGATGATGCTTATACACGAAGTCCTCGTTAGCTAGAATGACAGCTGCTGCACCATCGGAAGTGGGACAACACTGGAGCTTTGTTAATGGTCCAAATATTTTGGGAGAATTCATAATTTGTTGCAAGGTGTATTTTTCTTGGAATTGAGAATTCGGATTGTTTATAGAATGCAGATGATTCTTATATGCGATTTTTGCAAAGTGTTCGAATTTTGTGCCATACTTCTTCATGTGCTCGATTCCAGCATTGCCAAACATTTGAGCGGCAATAGGACTCTCGGACAGACCTATGCAATCGATGATTATAAGATAAACAAGTCAAATATATCAAATACTATTCCATTTTATGTCTAAAAAAATTCTGTAACTGACCTACGATATTTGCCATGAGCTCGACATGCTTATCCATGGGATTTGTGCGATCTGAAAACTTGGACATCAGGGAGCCTCGCTCCATCTTCTCAAATCCAAGTGCTAGAACGCAATCCGCATTGCCACTCTCAACGATCTGTTTGCCAAGGTAGAGAGCTGTGGAGCCGGTGGAACAGTTATTGTTGACATTGTAAATGGGACATCCAGTGAGTCCAATCTCGTAGATTGCCCTTTGACCGCAAGTGGAGTCGCCGTACACGTACCCAACGCAGACGGCCTGTACGTTGTCGTAGGATACGCGTGCATCCTGCAGAGCCTTGGTAACCGCTTCCTTCGCCATTTGCGGATAATCGAAATCATCCCTATGGCCGGGCTTCTCGAACTTGGTCATCCCGACGCCGATCACGTACACTTTCGGCTTGTGAACCATCTTGGCGATCTGTCTCTTCGGGCACGAGTGAAACACCGGGAAATTTCCGTTTAGCAAAACACGAACGGGAACCGTTTTCTTTGCAAGACTTCCTCGTGTGACGAACGTTCAGATTGTGAAAGTAGAAATGGAAAAAGAAATGACACACGTAATGTCGCTGCTACAGGATTACCGAGATTATAGGCGATCAAAGACGTGAGACGTATTTCGTTGGACTTTAATCTTCCATATATTGCGGTAAAAAAACAGAAATTATAATGACAAGGCGGTTTCCAGCGGACTCCAACGTTTTCGATTTACGATAACGAGCCGAACGAGCGACGATCACGTCTCAGTTCTCACCACGGCGCGAATAACGACTAGATCGTTGTCTCTGGTGAAAATAATACACTACGCGCAAGGTGTTACTTAATTGCGACTAAACACGTAAATGTCTCACGCAAAATGTTTCTCGAGGAAACTTTCTATTGAGTTAATAATCATAATAATAATAAAAATATACTTCGCATAAATTTAAAGTTATGCACAATATTTTAATAATTAGATGCGTGAAACATATGATTGTCTTTTATCAGTAAGCCAGTATATTTATGACCTTCAATTGAAGAATAATTATTATTTCATTTCCCTTGCAAATTTGTCCATTTC